ACACTCCCCTCTTACTCTGTTACCCACCTTCACTATGTCACCCTTCCTCTCACTCTATCACACTAATGTAACCCTCACACTCTGTCACCACCCCTCACACTCTGTCACCCCTCTCGGCACACACTGACACCCCTTCATACACATTGTCACCCCCATCCATACACACAGGCACCTCCATTCATTCTCATTGTCAACCCTCAACACTCTGGCACCCACCTCCAAACACTCTGGTACCCTCCTGCTCTTTTACACTCACCCTGCCACAGTTACCCCTTTACTCACCCTGTCACCCCCTGAAGGCAATAATTATACACACTGTCATAAAACATAGCTTCGCCATAAACTCAGTGCCAAAGGCCGTACACAAACATACACATGCTCAGAGAAACATACATACATATACAAGGATCCTCACTGCCAGACACACACAGGTAGACAATGCAACGATGTATACAAAGACTAGCTCACTATATCCAGTGCTGCAAGCTCCCCCTTCAGTGTATCTACAGCTTATTTTACACACACAAATCAACTGCTATTTTTTTCAATAATGGTGTTAGTGGGGGGCCTCATGTAGGAGTTTCGCCTAAGGCCTCGCCAAGTCTAGAGCCGCCACTGAGTGAGCATGTATGTGTGCCAGTGAGATTGTCGGTTTTAAGCATGTGTGTTTATGTCATTGAGCTTGTTTTTACTTTGCGTGTGTGTGTTTGCTAGTGAACTTGTAGTGAGTATATGTGTGTGACTTTAAACTTGTCTGTAGTAAGTTTCTGTTTGTATACCATAGAAAAACATGCAATGGGGGTAGATCCAGATATAAGGATCTCAATATTGAAAGCAGCCACTCTATAGGCACACTCCAAAAAGGCCAATGAAAACAAATAGACAAAAGGTGAATATAAAACCCACCAAATGAGGGTGCTAAAACAATGAGATGCAATGACAGCTTGAATAGTCAAATTGATGATATAGATATCATTAGACTTTATTCTAATCAAACCATCAATTCATGAAATATGTAAAATGTACCGTATTTTTCGCTCCATAAGACGCACTTTTTTTCCCCTCAAAAGTGAGGGGAAATGTCTGTGCGTCTTATGGAGCGAATGTGAAGCTTTACTTACCTGTATTGTAGCGTGGGCCGGCAGCACAGCGCGCTCCGCGGTACAGGAACTTCCATGTCAGGTTCCTCGCTCCGGGCGGACTGAAAGGAAGTGCAACACCTGCGTGGAAACCCTGTATCACCGCGCGAGCTGTTGCTCCACACCTACAATACAGATGGGCAATTATGGCAATACCGCGGGACAAGGGGAGGGGGGACTCTATAGAACAAGTGGACAAGGGGAGGGGGAGACACTATGGGACAAGGGGAGGGGAGGAGACACTATGGGACAAGGAGAGGGGGACACTATGGGAGAAAGGGAGGGGAGGAGACACTATGGGACAAGGGGAGGGGGACACTATGGGAGAAAGGGAGGGGAGGAGACACTATGGGACAAGGGGAGGGGGGGAGACACTATGGGACAAGGGGAGGGGGACACTATGGGACTATGGGACAAGGGGAGGGGGGACACTATGGGACAAGGGGGGGAACACTATGGGATGAGAAGTTAAAGAACACTATGGGACAGGGGAGGAGGGGTTAACAATCACTATGGGACAGAGGAAAGGGGGGTTAAAATAACTGTGGGACAGGGGAGGGGGGTTAAAGATCATTATGGGACAGGAGAGGGAAGTGGGTGGTAAGGAACACTATGGGACAGAGGAGAAAAAAAATATTCTGGACAAACTGTCCCATAGTAAGACACACTATGGAACAGTTCAGAATATTTTTTTTTCTGGGTTTCCTCCTCTAAAAACTAGGTGCGTCTTATGGTGAGGTGCGTCTTATGGAGCGAAAAATACGGTATATACAAATATACAAAGTCAGTAAAAGATAAAATAAAACAATGATAAAGCAATGCTATTATAAGACCGGGATAAAAAAAGTCTGGCACCAACCACTATGCAATATTGGGGAAAGGGTTAAAATTTGCTCCTCAAAAAAGTCCCAATCACTTCGAACTATTTATGGACATACAAAAATTATTTAAAAAAATTGACTGTGAAACACTTCTTTGAGAAAAAAAGGCGAAAAACATAAGGATTCTAATTAACTGGAAGTGACATCTCCCAATATTATCAAAAATGACCCAGAGATGATAATTCTGAACTAAAAATTAAGTCAAATTTTTTTCCCACCTGGGATAAAGGGGAACATATCCCAGTTTTTTTCTAATATGGTATTAAAAGACTTTGAAAAAAATTAAGAAAGAAAAGGGTAAAGAAAATCTGTCCTTAAATGAAAAGAAAGAAATAAAAAACCTTAAAGAAAAATTTGAAATTGTTATAGAACAAGCTGACAAGGGAGGTGGGATTGTCATCATGGATAGGGATATGTATTTAAAGGAATCTTTTAGGATTTTAGGTGACACTAAAACCTATCAAATATTTAAAAAAAAACCTGAATAACATCTTTAAATCACAACTACAAACTATATTGACAGAAGCTTTAGACCAAAATGTAATAACAAAAACAGAATTTGAATATTTTTTTATCCAATTCCCAAAATTAGCTGTCTTTTACCACTTGCCGAAGATTCTCAAAAAATTTAGAGAACCCACCATGGAGACCTATAATCAGCAGCATTGGATCCCTTACTAGCAATATTTCTGAATATGTAGATCTATTTTTACAAAAATATGTCACTTTAGCAACTTCATATATTAAGGATTGTACTCAGATGATTAGAGAGCTAGAAGGAATGGAGTGGAAAGATGATTATCTATGGGTCACCATAGACGTCACCTCACTCTATACGATCATTGATCATATAAAAGGGATAGCTGCAATAAAAGAAGTCCTGGATAAAGATAGCAATATGTCTAAAAAGCAGATAACATTTATTTTAAGATGTATTGATTTTATTTTACATAAGAATTATTTTTGGTTTGAAAGTACATTTATTTATTGGCTACATATTTACGTGACAATATGTACACTGTGGACCTTGATAAAGACCAGTACCAGTCGAAACATCAATATTTTTTTTCCCATTGTTTTGATTTAAATCTTTGGATTCGAACACCTAGGAGTGCACCCTTTATTTTGAGATTATATATATATATATATATATATATATATATATCCACACATACACACACACATATATACACACATACACACACAATAAAGAAATGAGAGCACTCAATGGATTTTGTTCAATCAAAGATTTGTGTTGTGAATAAAGGATCAACGTTTTGACACATATGGTGCTCTCATTGCTTCATTGTACATACCCACGCTGTGCATCACCTTGGTCCTCTTTGACTATCACCATGTTAAGGTAGAGTACCAGATATATATATGAGAAGTAAAAAATGGCACTCATTTCCATATATTTAAATCTTCATTTATTGCGAAGAATAAATCGACGTTTCAGCTCACACACGGCACAATGACTTATGCTTTGTATCTACAGTCCAGCCCTGCCTGTACTGAGCCTTACTGACTCCAGGCTCCACTTCATGTGAGTGACCCAAACCTGTGTTCTATTTTATCTGAGGATATTACACCATCTGTACTATATGTTGTTTATTTTTAACTTTTACATGTGCTGTTTAAACCCAATATACCACTGTGATTATATGGGTAAGATAGACCCTAATTTAGCACTCCACTATTTAAGGTGTATTCACTTTTATATATAGGGGTGACATTGAAAATGTTTAACTTAAATTGTATGCTGGGAACTTTTTGCAATATTGCTGACTGTAGATTCACCCAATGTTTTGGGAAATATGTTTCTCATTTTGGTGAAATTATGTATTTTGTCACTCTTGATTATACTTTATATTTGGCTTACTCTCAAATAACTTTGAACTTTGAGAAAGTAAATAAAAAAAAAATGTTCATACAACACTATATATGTATATCATTTTGCTGATAATGCAATGATCCATTTTACAAAATAGTGTTGATAATGGATACGCTACTAGGTCCTCTTACAAAGTGTACTTGGAGATATTCTAGAGAGTGTTTTGATTCTTGAACTGTCTGGGATCTTTCTTTTTTACTGTTACAAGAAAGAGTCATCTCTAGGAAAAGTTTTTTGATTTTACAAGGTAAAAATGCTGTAAGATATACCTGCATATAAAAGTCATTGTGAGGTACCTGCTTGGTGCCTAAAAAATAAAATCTGAGATGCTGCTGCCCTATTGCTATTCCTGACTGAAATATCTGTTAGAGGTAATAAAGGGGAGGGCATTTAGCAATGGAGGAGCTGAATAGCTCATGTAGTGCTTAATGGCTGACCTTTTTAGCCATTCACGCCCACAGGAGTGGCCAGCTTTGAGCAATGCTGAGCCTGAAGAGGAGGAGAAAGCCAAAGGGGAAGACACTGAGGAGGAGCCACAAATGCCCATTATCCTGAATAACAAGAGCATGCTTCAGAGGGGAAAAAAGAATTTGCAGACCAAGAAAAATTTGCTCTCAATCATCCATCAGAGGGAGAACGAGTACAAGAGAATCTGGAAAGAAAAAGAAGAAATCCTGTCAACCTTCTGAATCTGGGTAAGTGCTAATTGCAGGAGCCAGTGAATTCTAGAAGGAGCTGGTACATTGGAACTGATCCTGAAGGCAGAGTGAACTGTGTAATGGGTGAGTGCTGCCTGGGATTATACAACAGGTCAAGATAGGGGTCCCTATTGCAGGCTATTCTGGTAGTCCAGCTCAGAATACACATTCAAAAGTTAAATTACCTGAAAAAAAATAGTACACCTGTGAATGAGACTTGTTAAATAGAAGCTTTTGCTTGTGACTCTACACCACTGGGTTTCCCTCTAGCAAATGCCATTAAAGAAATAATATCGAATGATAAATATATTGAAATTCTTTCTGTATTGCCGGCCTTACAGGATTTTTTTGTTGAAATAGGAAAGAGAGGAATATAGGAAGTGCCCTGGTTTTTCAACAATTGGCTACAGGCCTTTTGTATTTTTGCCAATGTTTATTGTGAGCATTATTCTGATAAACCCAGCAGTCTTTTTTTTGTCATCTAGAGTCAACACTGGAAGCTGATAAAAAAATTTGGAGGATTATCATAGTGTAGTTCTGATTAAAATTTTCATTAAAATGATCAGTTCATAAGAATTTAAGATGGGGAATGAAGGACGTGGGCTCTTATATAAGCATAATGCTACCAATCAGACTCACAAAAAGTCAATATAAAACTCAAACACACAGTAGTGTTTCACAGTTATGCCACAAAAGGCATCTGCTGGGCAATTAATGAGGTCCAATGTAAATGGAATTAAAACACAGAAAAAGTAGAGAGAACTAGGGGTAGCGACACAATTTTGATATAAATGCAATGATATATACAGTATAAGGTACAGAGTAGATGAACAAATATATAGACACAAAGTATCTAATAGAGCAAATAAGTCCAAATAGTAAAACAAGTCCAAGAGATAATGTGGAGATGCATGTGTCAGAAGTGCTTTTCTACCAAGTGTTTGCATAATTCTTTAATGGGCGTTGCAGGGTTTGTTCAGCAGTAGAATCTGTATGAAACAACAGAAAGGAATAATAGGGTAGTATGTTCTTGCAGGGGATAATAAAAGAAATACAACCCTACTCACGTTTTATGGAACTGTAACTAGCTCCAGTATGAATGGCATACAGTGGTACAATCCCCACTTGCAAGGATATGTGAGAAGGAAGTATTTCTAGTATGTAAATCAAAAATTATAAAAAGAAACAGCAATAGTGCTCACTGAATAAAATACCAGGTGTAGGGATAAATGGAAATGTACTCACATTTACCAGAGCAGACAAACTGCTCAATGGATCAGGCATGGGTGGTATAATCCCCACCAATGATGTCATGAGAGTAGTACTCACTGGAGATAAAAGTCAGGTGCCAAGCAGTATGAGATAAAATAAAATAAAATAGTAGTGATAGTAAAATGTAGAAAAAGTTTATATTTGTATGTAAAAATGAAGCTTATTGGTGTTAAAAACAGATGTATAGAAATGGTAATTTGACCATGTACTTATTTTGATTGGCAGCAGCCATTTTTGATGGTGCCGCAATTTTGAACAGAGTTGTGGGAAATGTAGTACAGGCATACCCCACTTTTAAGTACACAATGAGACCAGAGCATGTATGTAAAATGAAAATGCTGCTAAGTCATAGTTATAGAAAATGGCAGGGTAAACCCTTTCACATGATGGCAGCCGATTGCAGAATATGGACAATGTCGGGGCAGAAAAAAAATATATGTTCAGCTAGAAGTAGACATTATAAATTTGAGATGATTAACCTGTGCCATGTCAGAAGGTGTGACTAGTTCTTGCCCCAAAGACACTGAACTACTCCGGGCGAGAATAGAACCTTCCATTCCCTGTTTACTCGCGGACAAAAGAGGCGCGGGAATGTCTGTACTCGCGAGTGTACTTAAAGTGAGTGTATGTAAAGCGGTGTATGGCTTTAGTGTGTAAGGA